TAACAAGAAATTAAAAAAAAAATCTGTTACACAAAGAGCTTCTAAAGCTAAGAATCAATTCAAAGCAGACAGAAGGGTTATGACTATTTTTATCTAATATGTTAATGAACAAATGCATATATGGGCCATTCTTAGCCAAATCACTATGTAACGCTGCATAAACAGGATAAAAGAGATTGTTACTTTCAGCTATTTCTCTTTAAATAGAAGCAGCATCTCTGTAGTTAAATAATCTGTAGAAATAACGAATTACTTCATCTTGTATTCACATCTGTTTTTACAGAAGGAAAATAATTTTTCCATTCTACTTTTGGAACTCTTCACCACAGGATGCTACCAACTTAGGAGAGTTTAGGGGAAAACTGGAAAGCTCTCAGGAAGGCAATCTGTTGAGGGTTACTACACACAAAGAAACCCCTCTTTGCTCAGGAAGTCCCTGGCACCCAAACCATTGGAGACTGGGAGAACATTTGAAGGAAGTATTACCACACACTTAACTCAACACTTACATCCTTCCCTACATATCTGTCACTGATAATGACAGAATTAGAACGACCGCTGGTCTGAACCAATAGGGTCATTCTTACGCTATCTTTTGACAATCATTGCAAATGCAGATGTCAGAAATTAGTAAATTACTTGAAAAAAAAGTGGCTGGAACAAACCTGAGGGTTTCCATAACACTTTGTTAAGTAGAAGGTGCCACTGCCCTATAGTAGTAGCACTGGTTGTCCCCAGGGTGACAACATCCTGAGAGGATAACCTTTGCCTGGAGGCTGGGCCAGAGAAGGTCCTCTCCCCAGTAGCTGGGACTTCACCTCTTGTCCAACAGTAGTCAATATAGCCACAAAAGATATCTATTTAACTAATTCTGCATCCAGGGCATCATTATGTAGTCCTGACCTAACTATATAATGCAACACAGGAAAAAATAAGTTGTCCAAAGAGCTCGTAAAACTCCTATACTTGCATTAATATTTCAATTCAGAGCTCAGTTCTGCTAGGTGGTACCCTGTTCTTTACTTAGCCTTCTTCCTTTCAACAGGACCGTCTGGGGAGAAATGGCGTACACAGAAGAAGGTCAAGAGACTTGCAGTTAAAACTGCTACTTTTAACGAAGGCTACCAATTTACTGATGCTTCAGCAAGAGAACCAAATGATAAGGCTATGTACCAACTCGAAGAATCTTGAGCATGATGCTGTAAGAGCTTTTTTAACATTATTTTGGTATAATTAGTAGTTAAATGACTATAAAAATCTGAGTTTTAAAAATATTTCTATTACAGTAACTTAAACCCTACGATTTTTATAGTCTTACAAAAATTTTCTTTATCTGTTTGGATTTTGTTCAAATAAACTGCAAAAATAAAGGTCTGGGCTTGACTATTCATTAATCTTTTTATTACAGCTGAGACTTTTAACATTTTATTGATAACCTCGTCATTGCACTTACAGATTTTAATCTCTTTTAGTTACAGTGAATTTTGTAAAATCTAATTCCTACTGTCCATAGAAAATAAGTGCTTTGTTAAAGAAGCCTTTTGATTACTTACTTAAAAAGAATCACATGGCATAAGTTTGTTGTTTGTTAGAAAGAGTTTGACATGCAAAAAATCAATAGAGTTTACTTTTACCTGCACCAAGGTTAGTTGGTAGGAAAGCAGCCAAACCCACAATTTTAAATTTCGTTCCCCAGATATTAGATGTGACCTGAGCAAGGTAGTTGTGCTGCAAAGCAAAACCAAGATCATTTTTACCTAATAAAATCTGTTATCAAGCTCTAATAAAAACCTGCAGAGTAATCAAGCTATTGCAAGGGATAATACAATTTCAGCTTCTCTTGTTTATATTCTATTGAAACAGGCTAATGTGACTATGTAGCAACTGTTATACCCAGTCATTAAGAAGTCTCATTTTGCTTATCTGAACACCATGAGAAATGATGTATACAACAGCCACATAGGTTGATCCAAGCTGTTGAAGAACTGAACAACATGATGGCTGCTTAGTGAGAATAGGTCTGTTTTCAGACACTTGCTTCTCCTGCACAACAAGAGTGTGGCTATTCTGTATTTCAGGAAGTAATACACCCTGCCCTCTGGTTCTATGCTTAGGAATCACTTTATAGAACAATAAATATGACAGAAATTAATTACTCATAATGACAAACATATTTTTCCTGGAGCTTCCAAAGCAGCTTCCCAAACCACTGCTTCCATGGTGATCAAATTATGGGTCTGGAAGACCAAGAGATTTTCTCAAAGGCCAAGAGTCAATATCAGGAGCAAGATCTAAGCCTCTGGTCTCCTGCCCTATTCAAAGGACTTTTGGTCCTATCTGCCAGTGCTACGTAAGTAATCTAGAATGTTTCAATATAAAGAAAAAAGTGAAAAAAACAACTGAAATGAAACAAAACAAAACTAAAAGAATGCAGGCTAGTATTAATAAAATAACCCAGACAGTTCTACAGCCTGCTAAGTTTCATTTACCCACAGGTCATGAACACCACAAAGAGCACAAAGTGCTAATTCCTTGTCTTCCTTCCAATTAAGGCTGTTCCATGTCCCTGATCTAGTTGGAAGATGTCCCTGCTCATTGCAGGGGGGTTGGACTAGATGACCTTTAAAAGGTCCCTTCCAACCCAAACGATTCTATGATTCTATGAATTATGAAATAGAGAACATGTGGCCCTCTGAAGCAAGCATTTCCTTATCTCTGCAATTCCTAGCAAAGCAGAGAGCTATGGTGGCATTAGGACAGCTCTGAGAAACTGAGTAAGAAGCATTTTCACATACATTTCCAAACAGCCAACAAGATCACCTAGAATAAAACCTCTCACATGGATTCACATTAACAGAAGTTAGTGGTGCCAAGATTTATTAAACAATAATATAATTGATATTGATTATATCTGAGAGATATATATATATATATGATGAAACTGATATTCCGTTGACACTTTCAAATATTAACATTGAACTGGAAGATGCAATTCTCTAGTTGTTCCATCTAGTTACTGTAATTAAATGAAAAATTTGTATTGGTGATCATTGGATCTATATCACAACTTGCTGCCTCTGGAATGAGATGCAGTTGGACTCAGGTCTGGTAACAGTATGCGCAATACCTGAGTAATATCTTCTAAAGGAAACTCTCTTCGGGTTAGGCTTGGAGAACCGATAGAAGGTTTCCTTATTGGTAACCTTGGTGATCTTGATATCTCCTGCGCAGCTCGTGACATCTTTGGAGATTTGCGAGCTTCTATATTGATTCTGCATATAAAGCAATAATTAGGATCATCAACGGGCATACAAAAATGCACAAATTCATGTCTTTGAATGTAAAGAAGTAATGAAGACAACTGGTACAGTGTCCTCTAAGTGACTACTGAAGACTGTAGAGTCTACAGGCTGGAGAGTTACTGGTCAAATTTGAAGATATATAAGGCCTGACACACTCGCAGTAACTCTGACCGGATGCTTTGTGATTCATTTAACAAAGCTTACAGCAATTCTGCCAGACACAATATATCCTCCACTAATCCATGAAAAGGTGTAGGGCTGAGCTATTTCAGCTATGCAGACTTTGAGCAAAGCCTCAAGAAATGGAAACACGACACCTCAGCTGGCAGATCTCCACGTTAGTACAGCAAACCAAGGCTCCACAAACTTTGTCAGTGCTCTTACTCTAAGCCAAAAGTTATTCCTACCTCCCACTACACAAAGGGGGTCATGAATAAGAGATCAAGCACTTGAAAAAGCTCACTAGTAGAAAAAATAATGAACAAAAGTTACATTTCAAAAGTATGGTCTTAGAAAACCAGGGACGCAGGATAGCTGTTTTTCCCGCGCCATTTCAGTTTTAGGCTCAGGAACTGATGGTTGTTTTGTTAAGTACTACTAAACTAAAACTTTGGTATTTCACACATTATGTTCACATATAAAGGGATGCATTTGCTTTGCCTCATACTAGGACAAGCTCATAATATAAGGTCTTTGGAAAAGTGTCAGCTGCAGCCAGAAGGCATAAGGGCCTCAATCCCGTAACATGAAGCTGGCAGATAGATGAGAGTGCCTATGAGAAGCATCAAAGACATCAGTGACGCTCTGTACAGGTGGAGGGTTCTGTCTATGTACATAATGAAGATAATGAAGAGCTGGCAGGAAAGCAACCAGACGAGTAATAAGCTTATTTTGCATATCATTACAGAAGCTTGTCAACCCAGTGTTTAGGAGGATCTGTTTGTTCAGGCCCCCTTGCAAGGTCACCATAGCAGCAAGGCCACCTATGCCAGATCTATGCCACCTATGCATGGACTTATGAATTTGAAAATACCCCTGAGGAAATAAAGGCTTTAACTAGATCAGGGACCCTAAGCACAGAGGAGGTAAAAACACAGATTGTCTGAAGGACAAAATATATCCTATGGTGGCAAGAGTTTACATGTGGCAGAGGTAGTGGTTGGAAAGTTTAGAAAATCTTTCTTTGAGACTGCTTGGGGAGAAGTGGTGCCCTATGCTTCCCATTACCTTTTGCCCCAGAACCTTCCCCAAAGTCCACCTCAACACCAATCTCTTGAGATCACTCCAGACCTGTACACTGTAGAGGACCCCACTCCTCCAGAAGACTCTTATCTGCCCAATGGAGCTGGCTTTTCATTTTATGAGGTGT